TGTTATCGCGCAACTCGTCTCAACTTTCATTTTTCTTATGGCCGCCATCTTGAATTTTTCGATTTTTGGAAAAAGCATAGAATTTCCAGTCTAGTGATGTGTCACAAGTAGATAAAAGATTTGAGTGTCATCGAAAACTTACACTTCGTAAAGTTAATGTCTGGCCAACGATTATGAAGCTACGGAGTAAGGGAAATCAAGTTGTAAAAAAATGGCTGTCGGCTGATTTCATCCATAAAATACCTACCCAGGTGCGTGCAGAACTTTTTGGAAGTATATCGTACACGAAAATCGACACTGACCAAATCACCGCCATTAGATATTTCAATGTAAGTCGATATTTCAAGATGGCAGTCATCGGAGGAACACGGATGAGAACACTTCTTCCGCTACCACACCGCCTTTGAAGATAACTACCGCAGCAATAGACGGAACGAGTATTACTAGACCACGGCATTATAACTTGGAAAAAACTTTTTCACTCTCTGTACCGTTGATTTTGGCACACCAATTATTTCACATTCTACAGTTCTTACCGATGCACTAGGATTTTCGTTGACAGCTAGTGAAATGTTTCTGTCGCGATTTTCATTATCAATATTTTATGCGCTTCTAGGTTTTTCGAAGGCCACATGGTTAATTAAATTAACTACGATTTCTGTGAATTACGTTTTATGAGGCTTCCCTCGTTCGGGGTACCATCGTCACCAAAAGTAACTGGGACAGCATCACATTAGCTCTTGTCCTATTATATGAATTTTATTGTCAAATATTTGTCAAACTATGAATATAATGCATTGAAATGAATGACACTAGAATTAGTCCAGGAGATTATTATACATTATTTGTGTCCCAGATTTGTGTCCCAGATCTCCAAAAAAGTACCTTGCTGAGGTAATGTCGGCGTTTCTGAGTGACTGCAATTACAGCGCTAACAAGTCAAACCTTTCTTCATTTGAATAAGGAATACTGGCCATTTTCAACAGGTTTCGACAATTTGTGTGTCCAGGTTTATGATTTTAATGGAAGAGAACTTACAATTATTAATAGACAACTTTGACACTATGAATTATTTTATCATAAACAAAAACATCTAATTTTGTCTATTATCAAAAGTAAACATTTTCTAAACATACCATCAGCTTTTGTCAATTTGGCAAAATCCGGCCTGGATGAACGTGATTGGTGGAGTTTTTGGCACGATCGCCGTTGCCACGGAACCATGCGGTTGCCATCGGGCTTACGTATGGCTATTGGCTGGCCAGGGTTCCCGTAACTTTATCCTTGCATCTTGAAATATCGACTTGCTTTGAAATATCCAGTGGCGATGGTTTGGTTATTGTCGATTTTCTTGTACGATATTATACTTCCAAAAAGTTCCGCACGCAGCTGGGTAGGTATTTTATGAATTAAATCAGCCGACAGCCATTTTTTTACAACTGGATTTCCCTTACCGATGCCCCGTTAGTTTCAGAATCGTTGGCCAGACATTAACTTAACGAAATTTGATTTCTCGATGATACTCAAATCTTTTATCCACTTGTGATACATCACTAGACTGGAAATTCTATGCTTTTTCCAAAAATCGAAAAATCCAATATGGCGGCCATAGTAAAAATAAAAGTTGAGGCAAGTTGCGGAATAACAAAAGACGATTGAGACATGTCATACATGCTATCTCAATGGTCTTAAAAAAGTGTCTGAATAATGTAACATTTTGACAGCTGTCAAATCAACCGTTTCGGGTTAACTGGCAAAAAACGAAATCCGTCATTTTCGGTTTTTCGCCGATATTTCCAAATCTAATTGAGCGATTGTTAATCTGGAGCCGATTATCGAATTCTCTTAGCTTTCTCTAGAACTTTCCCCATTTAACCTTTGCTGTGAATATATGACCCAGCTTTAGCAACAGAAATTCACACAGACGCTAGTCAAGACGACATTGCAGGAATCCTACTTCAGCATTATGAATCTCAATTAAGACCAGTGGCGTATTACAGTAGACACACTGATAATGCGGAGAGGAAATACCACTACCTACGAGTTGGAAATTCTAGCGGTTGTAGACACACTAAAATTCCGAGTTTATTTACTGGGCTCAAACTTTAACGCTTTAAAAACAGCTAGTTCTAAAAGAGAGCTCATACCTAGAATAGTGTTACCACCGCCAATTGGTTGCGATGGTTGGGTAAGGGAGACTTTATTTTAGCACTGGTAAACTCCTTTTTTTACTGCGGTAGCGTGCCACCAGGGACTTTGTTTAAAGTCCCACTGAAAATCTAGGTAACTTTGAATGGATACTTTTTAGTAACCTGATTAGATTGCCTCTTCCAGTGCGGGTTCTTGCTACCTGAGCTGTACGCAGTTAATTGGAATGCTAGCTTGGGGTTTTCCAAAGGAAATAAAAGGATCAGTTTTTCTTACTATACTCTAACAGTGGTTTATTGAACAAATGGTAAATCTTGGTAAGGAAATGAAAGAAAAGTAAAGAATATACAGTAAATTATTAACAATGTTTACTGAAATGAAATGAAAGAAAATACATACGGAGATTTGGAATGATAGGGAGTGAAATTGATGAATGAGCGTCCTATATAGGGCGTTCCTTGATGGTACAAGTTACATGAGAATTTAAGGATTGAAAGATACACAAAATAAAGTCTAGGTTACAATTCTTAATGGGTAAAAAGTTACGGGCGTTCTGGACAAGGGAATGACAAAACAGCCTTGTTATTCAGGGTAGGATACATGTTGGAAAAGAGATTTGAGTTGTGAAGCTAACCCAACGGTTTTGTTCTTTACACAGGGGAGAAAATACATAATAGACAGAAAACAACAATCTTATGATGAATAAATTGAAATACTTGAAATTGAAACATTACCTAAGGTCTCGGAAAGAGAGTCAGCAGAAAGACGTCAACACTTAACACCAGAACTTCGTGACAGAACTAAATGAATCTAGGAGAATCACAGGCTTATTTATATTGGTAGCTTGATGACGCTTTTGGGATTCTTATCGGTCGCAAAGCATGTAGTTTTTTTCATGGAACCAGGAGTCGAGAGTCGTATTTTAAGACACAATCAGGTTTCGAAATCCGACTGATAACCCTTGGCTCTTGACAAGGTTTCGTCAGAAATTTAGCGACTTAATCTCGCTGGGAAAAAAACAATTAATTGTATTACAGAGCGAAAAAAAAAAGGATTTGTAGGCCGTTTTGTTACAATAGCTCGTTGGTGACTTCAACTTCACGAGTACACATTCACTATAGAATATCGTCCCGGTAACAAGATGCAACATGTTAATGCTCTTAGCAGGAATCCATTAGAAACAGAAAAACCTTCTGCAAAAAATTTTATTCTAAAAATTCAAGAAGCAGATTTGGGTTTTGTCAGCCCAGCTTATGGATGGAAAAATCAAATTAATAGGTACATGAAGTTCTAACTAAAGACTGTTGTCATACACTTTGTAATGGTAGATTTATCGATAGAGCGGGTCAAAATTAGTGGGAAATAACCCTGATATCAATTCCAAATAGCCATTTTAAGCAGAAACAAAAATAAAAAGAAAATCCTATTTTTTGCTCTGGAGAATTTCAAAATCTTAACATGGTCAGGAACAATTGCCCATATCTTTAGTAAATTTTGAGTGAATTGAATTAAATTATGTATCATTGGAAAGAGCATTAATTCTTTATAAATGTGTGTAAAATTGAATTTGATAGCTCAAATAGTTTTTGAGCAATTGAGCCTCAAAATTGACTTTTAGTCCAAATTTTGTCAAAAACTTCAAACTCAATTTTCACAAAAACTATAAGTCTGGAAATATTGTGAATCACAGGCCATTTATAGAGCTTGATAAAAGCTACAAATTCTGGAAATTTCAATGCAATTTGCTCAACCGTTACCGAGCAATTGAGTTTGAATATTTTGAAATCAGAATTCAAAGGGGGTACCCTTATGAAAATCTCGATTTTTTGATTTTTCAGTTTTGCTCAATTTTGACTTCATCAATCGATAAAGCGGGTCAAAATTAGTAGAAAACCATCCTGACACAATTCCAAATGACCTTTTTAAGCAGGAACAAAAATAAAAAGAAAATCCTATTTTTGGCTCTGGAGAATTTCAAAATCTTGACATGACATGGTCATGAACAATTGCCCATATCTTTGGTAAATTTTGAGCAAATTGAATTAAATTATAGATCATTGGAAAGAGCATTAAATTCTCTATAAATGTGTGTAAAATTAAGTTTGATAGCTCAAATATTTTTTGAGTGATTGAGCCTCAAAATTGACTTTTAGTCCAAATTTTGTCAAAGAAGAATTAATATCAATTTATTGCACACTCTGACCTTTTCTAAAATAATAAAATAGAAATCCGGACTCGTTTATTCCATACGTTATTAATTTTAAACCTGTAAAATATTATTATATTACAATTATATAAATTCACAATTATTGTTTTTAATAAATCATCAAAAATTTAATCTTAAAGTCAGCATTCCTTTCTAGCTTGTGCCACTTTCACTTGATACCCAAAGGAGATTAATTATAACAATTCATTTTTTATTGTTGCAATTTACACTTGAATGAATTGTTTTGCCCGAGTAGGTTTTCATTTAACTATCATCATCTGGCATATAAGTATAAGTACAGTGAAATTTTAAAAACTCAATAATTGTACAATTCAGCATTTTACTACTAGCAAAATTGTGTACCTATGTTATTCTGTTTATGTTAAATTCAATTTCTAACTTTCATAGTTTTCAAAAGAAATACGAGAGAAATAAAAATTCTTCATAAATACTAAAATTATAATGTTTTTATCATTCCGCACACGACACCTTGTGAACCAGTGCGTTACACAATCTTAACTGTAAAAAAAAAGGAGTAACAATTGTTCCAATTGTAATAATTATTGCAAAGAAGAACCAGTTTAACAATAATTGTGAGAACAATTTCATCTAATTTGTGTTAGTGGGCGATTAAAATTGAACTTACCACATGCCCCATGCGTCCCAGATACTTCATTTTTTCTTGCACCCCCGCCACCTGTTTCAGGTACCAGTCTCTGGCCTTTTCCACTGCGCTCAATCCAGTCATCAATACCTCTTTTTCTTGTTCAATCTGCTTCATCCTCTTCAACATATTATAATCAATCCCGTTCTGCAAAGTGTGTCTTCTAGGCTCGCGCCTTTTAGCATTAGCCTTCTTCTGATATTGATTCTCAGTCTGAACCGCAGCTTTCCCATCGCCCAAACTCCTGCCAGTCCTCAACAACCCAGTGTACTGTCCATTGACCACCCGCTTGGCGTCCTTTGTTTGATCCTGATTAGTCATTAGTCCCATTTGCCAGTTGGCCAAGGCTGTGCGTATTTCCGCCCTGTCCAAGTTGGGACGATCTATGACTCCGATGGCAGTTCTGGGAGGCTTTGGGGGACCGTACAAAGGAGGTTTTTGGTCAAGGGGGTCTTTGAGTTGAGGCATGCTCAAGGTTCTAATAACGTTTTGTTGGTTGTTGGGGCGAATTGCGGCAGTGTATTGGGGTTTCGGGTCCACCAAGTCTAAAAGTGGAGCTGAAGGTGGACGATTTGGTACCTAGAATTTATTCAAATACATTTACCTCTGTGTATCAAAAATCTGAATTACCTACCTTATTGCCTATATTTTCTTGTTTGGCATCCTCAGGTCTTCCAGCTTGGTTCCTCAACAAACATATTTTTAAGCCAGCGCAAAAGCGCTCAAAACTCAACATACCATTGGAAGGAGTTACTTTTCTTAGACTTTCTAAAACTCCTTTGGGTAGGCCTTTGGAACCGTCATCTTGCCAACGAGCTTCTAAATTATCAAACCTCAATTTGATTCAATAGCTATTTAAAACAATTTTGCTTACCAATATCAGCAAAATTAACAAGTCCAGTTTGTTTGTCGTCCATAATGTCGAAAAGTGTCCTCATTGCTGCTACAAATGGTTTAGGTAGACCGTCCAAAGTTGAAGAAGTTGAGGTCATTGCTGAGAATTGGAAACAAAGAATCACACCCACACATCAATAATTATGAATCATTCAAATATTATAAAACCAGTTTTATTATATGAAGTACTTCAACGAACTTTCTTTTTTGAATGGTACCAATATAATGTCATAGACACACATTTTTGCTTTATGACATACTATAATAGTGCGGCCTAAATTCCATTTAAATTTAAATCTCTTAGATGTGGTACCGCACCTATTAATCATACTTACTATTGTTTTGTGCAAATCACCAAATAAATGACATAATCCATAAACTTATTGTGACTCAATAGAAATCAAGCAGTACAGCCGAGAAGATTTTCGAAAACAAACCCACAGAATTCGTGTAGCGCGAGGTTCGTCAACCGCGATTTCATGATGACTACTGACCGCTTCGTCTTGAGTACCATGGGTGGGTACCCAATGGTACTCCCGCTTACCTGGCTTCAAGAAGAAAAAAACAACAACCCAGGTAGAGCTTAAGATTTAATCGAAACAGGTATATTTATATGGGGCGGATTATTTTTTAATTTGAATATTTGTAGACAAATAAGTGTGGTTTATTTGGTACCTACTACGATAAAGTAGGCATCAAATTATATATCGAAAGTAGGTACTATTTATTCTTGGTACCTATACGTATATAACAGTACCGTGACACAAGCCTCTCTTCTCGACCTTGATGGTTTTTACCTATGGGTGATTTGAATGTTCAGATTTGATTACTGCGGTTATTGGATGTACTCGACTTTTCTTACGAGTGTATTTTTTGCGTTAAAAAAAAAGGTTCCTATTATCTTTGTGCCTAATCTCTTTATGGGTACCATGGGATAATCAGATTTTGGAGCTTCATTTTGATACGTTTGGGGTTCCATTTCGGAGAATGTTTGATTTTTAGGATTCAATTCTGTTTGTTTGTGATTCTTATGACTCATCTGGAATCAAAAACCTAAACTTCTAGATCGTTTTTTTGTTATTGTTCTTTTAGAGAATACTGGAAAAATCTTTGGGTCCTAAATCCTGAACCATCCTTTTGCAGATTTCCTGGATTTTTTTACAGGAGATTTTTAGAATTTCCATTGTATTTTCAATTATTTCATGCACTTCAGGGTTTTAAGTGAGAAGGTACCTACCTTATGATTTAGATTTTGGAAAATTTTGAAAGGTCATAACTTTTTTTCTATTATAGATGGAAAGCTGAAATTTTCAGCGATTCTTATCTCAGTAGAGGACTACAATCCCTGAAAATTTCAGCTCATTTGGACTTATAGTTCCTGAGATAAAATTGTGTTAAGCAATTTGGGGTGATTTATCAATTTTTCTGAGTTCCTTTTCTCATAGATTTCGGCTTCAAATCTGAGAATAATTTAACAAAAAAAAAAAAAATTGAAAATTAAAAAAAAAAAATCGTTTTTCCAATTTTCTCAATTTTTACTACCTAACGTTTTTTTTTTTTATTTTTTTTTCGTTCTTCCAATTTTCTCAATTTTCAATTTATTTTTTTTTTCCACTTTTTTCGTTTTTCCAATTTTCTCAATTTTCAATTTTTTTTTTATTTTTTTCTCCACTTTTTTTGTTTTTCCAATTTTCTCAATTTTCAATTTTTTTTTTTCACTTTTTTCGTTTTCCAATTCTTTTCCGTTTTTCCAATTTTCTCAGTTTTCAATTTTTTTGTTTTTTTTTAAATTTTTTTTTTCACATTTTTCGTTTTTCCGATTTTCTCAATTTTCAATTTTTTTTTTTTAATTTTGTCTTTTTTTTTCACTTTTTTCGTCTTTCCAATTTTCTCAATTTTCATTTATTTTTTTTTTTCTCCACTTTTTTCGTTTTTCCAATTTTCTTAATTTTCAATTTTTTTTTTGAATTGTTTTATTTTTCACTTCTTTCGTTTTTCCAATTTTCTCAATTTTTATTATCTTTATCTTATTTTATTTTTTTTATTTTTACTTTTTTTTACCCACTTTTCTCGTTTTTCCAATTTTCTCAATTTTCAATTTATTTTTTTTTCCACTTTTTTCGTTTTTCCAATTTTCTCAATTTTCAATTTTTTTTTTATTTTTTTCTCCACTTTTTTTGTTTTTCCAATTTTCTCAATATTCAATTTTTTTCTCACTTTTCTCGTTTTTCCAATTCTTTTCCGTTTTTCCAATTTTCTCAGTTTTCAATTTTTTTTTTTTTAATTTTTTTTTTTTTCACATTTTTCGTTTTTCCAATTTTCTCAATTTTCAATTTTTTTTTTTTAATTTTGTCTTTTTTTTCACTTTTTTCGTCTTTCCAATTTTCTCAATTTTCATTTTTTTTTTTTTTTTTTTCTCCACTTTTTTCGTTTTTCCAATTTTCTTAATTTTCAATTTTTTTTTTGAATTGTTTTTTTTTTCACTTTTTTCGTTTTTCCAATTTTCTCAATTTTCAATTTTTTTTTTTTTAATTTTTTCTTTTTTTTTCACTTTTTTCGTTTTTCCAATTTTCTCAATTTTCAATTGTTTTTTTTTTCCTCCACTTTTTTCGTTCTTCCAATTTTCTCAATTTTCAATTTTTTTTTTCACTTCTTTCGTTTTTCCAATTTTCTCAATGTTTATTATCTTTATCTTATTTTATTTTTTTTATTTTTACTTTTTTTTACCCACTTTTCTCGTTTTTCCAATTTTCTCATTTTCAATTTTTTTTTTTCACTTTTTTCGTTTTTCCAATATTCTCAATTTTAAATTTTTTTTTCTTTAATTTTTTCTTTTTTATTCACTTTTTTCGTTTTTCCAATTTTCTCAATTTTCAAGTTTTTTTTTTTCCTCCACTTTTTTCGTTTTTCCAATTTTCTCAATTTTCAATTTTTTTTTTTTTTCACTTCTTTCGTTTTTCCAATGTTTCTCAATTTTCAATTTTTTTAAAAAAAAATTTTTCACTTTTTTCGTTTTTCCAATTTCTCAATTTTCATTTTTTTTTTTTTTTCAATTTTCTGAATTTTTATTATCCAACTTTTTTTTTTTTAATTTTTTTTTTAATTTTGTTTTCTTCACTTTTTTCGTTTTTCCAATGTTTCTCAATTTTCAATTTTTTTTTAATTTTTTTCTTCACTTTTTTCGTTTTTCCAATTTTCTCAATTTTCAATTTTTTTTTTTTCAATTTTCTCAATTTTTACTATAGTAACGTTTTTTTTTTTTTTTAATTTTTTTTTTTCACTTTTGAGAAATTGGAAAAACGAAAAAAGTGGGTAAAAAAAAATGAAAAAAAAAAAAATAAAATAAAAAAAAAAAGAAACCTTAGGAGTAAAAATTGAGAAAATTGAAAAAAAAAAAAAAATTGAAAATTGAGAAAATTGGAAAAACGAAAAAAGTGAAGAAAAAAAAAAAACGTTGGGTAGTAAAAATTGAGAAAATTGAAAAAACGAAAAAAGTGGGTAAAAAAAAAATAAAAAAATTTTCTCAAAATTTACTACCCAACGCATTTTTTATTTTTTTTTATTTTATCTTATTTTTTTTTTCATTTTTTTTTACCCACTTTTTTCGTTTTTCCAATTTTCTCAATTTTTACTACCTAACGTTTTTTTTTTTTTTAATTTTTTTTTTTCATCACTTTTTTCGCTTTTCCAATTTTCTCAATTTTCAAATTTTTTTTTTCTCCACTTTTTTCGTTTTCCCAATTTTCTTAATTTTCAATTTTTTTTTTGAATTGTTTTTTTTTTTCCACTTTTTTCGTTTTTCCAATTTTCTCAATTTTAAATTTTTTTTTTTTTTCTTTTTTTTTCACTTTTTTCGTTTTTCCAATTTTCTCAATTTTCAATTGTTTTTTTTTTCCTCCACTTTTTTCGTTTTTCCAATTTTCTCAATTTTCAATTTTTTTTTTTTTTACACTTCTTTCGTTTTTCCAATGTTTCTCAATTTTCAATTTTTTTTAAATTTTTTTCAATTTTTAATATCCAACGTTTTTTTTTATTTTATTTTATTTTTTCATTTTTACTTTTTTTTACCCACTTTTTTTGTTTTTCCAATTTTCTCAATTTTCAATTTTATTTTTTTTCACTTTTTTCGTTTTTCCAATTTTCTCAATTTTAATTTTTTTAAAATTTTTTTTTTTTTCTCACTTTTTTCGTTTTTCTAATTTTCTCAATTCAATATATTTTTTTTCCATTTTTTTCGTTTTTCCAATTTTCTCAATTTTCATTTTTTTTTTCCTCCATTTTTTTCGTTTTTCCAATTTTCTCAATTTTCAATTTTTTTTTTTTTTTTTTTCACTTCTTTCGTTTTTCCAATGTTTCTCAATTTTCAATTTTTTTAAAATTTTTTTTTTTTCAATTTTCTCAATTTTTATTATCTAACGTTTTTTTTATTTTATTTTTTTTAATTTCAACTTTTTTCGTTTTCCCAATTTTCTCAATTTTCAATTTTTTTTTTTTCTCCACTTTTTTCGTTTTTCCAATTTTCTCAATTTTCAATTTTTTTTTAATTGTTTTTTTTTTTTTTCACTTCTTTCGTTTTTCCAATGTTTCTCAATTTTTAATTTTTTTTTAATTTTTTTTTTCACTTTTTTCGTTTTTCCAATTTCTCAATTTTCAATTATTTTTTTTTTTTCAATTTTCTCAATTTTTATTATCTAACGTTTTTTTTATTCAATTTTATTTTTTTTTTTCTAATTTTTTTTTTTTTCATTTTTGAGAAATTGGAAAAACGAAAAAAGTGGGTAAAAAAAAAGGAAAAAAATGATAAAAATAAAATAAAAAAAAAAAAAAAACGTTAGGTAGTAAAAATTGAGAAAATTGGAAAAATGAAAAAAGTGGGTAAAAAAATAAAAAAAAATTAAACAAAACAAAAAAAAAATAAAAAAAATGTTAGGTAGTAAAAATTGGGAAAATTGAAAAAAAAAAGAAAAAAAAATTGAAAATTGAGAAAATTGGAAAAACGAAAAAAATGGAGGAAAAAAAAAAAAAAAATGAAAATTGGGAAAATGGAAAAAAAAAAATTGAAAAGACGAAAAAAGTGAAAAAAAAAAAAAATTTAAAATTGGAAAAACGAAAAAGTTGAGAAAAAAAAATTAAAAAAAAAACAAAAACGTTAGGTGGTAATAATTGAGAAAATTGAAAAAAAAAAAAATTGAAAATCGAGAAAATCAGAAAAACGAAAAAAGTGAAAAAAAAAAAAAATAAAAAAAAAAAAAAACTTTAGGTAGTAAAAATTAAGAAAATTGAAAAAAAAAAGTTATTTTATTACTGTGTACAGGGTGTTTGTTTATAACTGGAACACTTAATAACTTTTTTATTATTGAGAATAAAGGGCATGTTGAAATTGGAAAATTTCTTGGTAAATTGCAACGATCTTAATCGCTAAAACGAGATTTTTTTTGTCTCCATAGGTATACAGGGTGCGTCAAAAAAGTCATTTTTTTAAATGAAACTCCCTGTATATTTTTACATTTTTGAAATTCTTAGAAAATTAACTTCACAAACATATCAAATATTATTTGGATAACAAAAATATACAGGGCATTCCATTTAAAAAAAAATACCTTTTTGGCGCACCCTGTAAACCTATGACGACAAAAAATATCATTGTAGCACTTAAGGTTGCAATTTACCAAGAAATTTTCCAGTTTAAACATGCCCTTTATTTTCAATAATATGAGAAAGTAACTGAGTGTTCCATTTATAAACAAACACCTAGTACATTCTGATTATCCCCAAAAGAAAACCTTTCAATGTTGTGAATCATTTTGTAACTATTTTGCCAATTTTCCTGATCAGGATTCTGGAATAAAAACCTAAATTCTTGCTCGTTATTTTTCCTAATTTTTTGATTCTTCTCTACTAAAGACTGGAAGAATTTGGGCTTCTTGATCCTGAATCATTCATTTGCAAATTTTCTGTTTTTCTCAGGAAATTCTTAGGTCAGTTAGAGTCATTTTATTATTCTGCATCTTTTGATTTTTCTCCACAAAAAAACTCTCAATGTTTGGAGTCATTTAAAACAAAAACTCCCAATGTTCTGAGTCATTTTTCAACTAATTTATCCTAAATCTTGACTCAGAACTCTGGAATCAAGATTTTAATTTTTGCCCAATATTTTTCCTAATTTTTTAATTCTTTTCTACTGAAAACTGGAAGAATTTCGGCGTCCTTCTGAATAATTTTTTTTGCAAACTTCCTGTTTTTCTCAAGATTCTCAGGATTTTTACTGAATCCTGAGTCATTTTATTACTCTGCAGTTTTCCTGATTCTTCCCTAAAAAAAAACTTTTGATGTACTGCGATATAACTATTTTGCTTCTTAATTGTTGGCAATAATTTCTTCACCGACCTGACACAAATGCATTTTTTTTATCTTGGAACATCAACCGAAACTGAAAGTTCTATTTCCCAATCCCAATGCAAACTTCAAAAGGATAAATAAAACTCATTTTTATTTGGGTGTTTTAATAATAATAATAAGGAATGTTCAATTTATTTCTTTTTCAATAAAAAACTAGGTAGTTCAATTTGAATAATATTTACAACAATAATTATAGTTAATAGAATCAGAATATAGACTATATTATCACTAGTATAACAAAATATTTACACACTAATTATAAATATACAATATTCAAAGAGGTACAAATAGTGTAATCATAAATTAAATTAAGTTTTGGACGTTTTTTTTTTTTGACACAAGTTCAACAATAAGAATATGGCAAAAATTGACAATAATAATTGAAACTTTTATAGAAAGTAGTCACTAACAATTCGACTCTGACTCAGTACGTGGCACTCCAAGCTGTTGGCTCACCCTTTCTTCAATTTGCTACAAAAGAAAAAAGGAAAAATTTATAATAATTTCACCTATAATACGCTGGCGCATTAGTTAGTCCAAAAGGTAATAGATTATTTACAGCATTAGTTCTGTTCCAACTGACATTCATTTGTTAAGTACGATAAACGTTCAACTTATTGATAAATAGGTGGGCAACTGGAAATTACTGGTTTTGGTTGGAATAGAGCTAATATATTCTAATTTAGTAGCTTTGTTCAGAATCTAAAAATGGCATTTCCTCTACAAAAAGCACTTAATTCTAAGGTGATGAATGATAAATGGATTCCCTGAACCACCCGACCAGCACCACCGCAAGATCCAGCACCACTCTTACCCGTTGAATTTGCTCGTTCCTCCTAGCCCTGGCCATCAGCTCCACTTCGGACAAATAAGCCAAACTTTCAGATTTAATTATAGCGCTCTCCAACTCAGGACAAAGCCTGGCGACCTGTTTTTTCTTCCTCAGCAACGATTTGACATTCCACAACCCAGTAGCTGGATCAGGTTTGGATACAATCAATGGTTCATGGGGTAATTTAGGAGACGGACAATTAACTAGGGTGGAATTATGTATAGGCCCGGAAATATTGACTAGAGTAACCGATTTGCCTTTGGAATGATCATTATTCGTATACAACGAAATAACGGTGGAGGATTTGTCATTGTGAATGTGATACGACACCGGCCTGACGATGTCCTGGTTGCTGCCGTTGATTGATGAAGTGGTCGACCAGTTTGGGGTGGGTCCGTGCGAGGGTGAACTATAACCGGAGGTGCTTTGCGAGTCGGGATAACGCACTAGCACCCGATTAGTGCCCTTACCAATCGGAGGCGATGCGATTTCGTTCATCGAACCCAATGCGCTCAGCGTCTTTTCGCTATCGGAAACTGTCAGAGGACGCGAAATTGGTGGATCAAAAGGCGTTTCAGCTGTATTAGGACTTTCCAGATCCTGAAAAAATTAATAAATAATCTTGAATTAGAAATTGATGAAAATTCTCACCTGTATTAGTTGTAAAGCAGCTTCAAGTTCCTTGGAGAATTCAGCGTCGCTACTCTTGGAGTGGCTCTCGCTGTTGCTCAAAGGCGAAGTGACACTCGGAGGTTCTTTCTTACAAACTATGGCTCTTTGCAGCTCTTTCATTAGTGAAGCGTACTGAACTGGCTCGACAACTTGAGGACTGACCGCGTCTGAGCGACGCGTCATTATGTTCTGAGACTGACACGAGTCTTCGGCTTCTTGGCTTTTATTACTAACTGCAGTGTTTAATCTGAAAAAAAATCTTATATTCTCATGAAATTATGAAGAAAATTCCATACCTAGATCTATAAATTTGTGGCTCTGTTAATTTTTCCAAGTACTCGTAAATGGGTGGATTATTAGTAGGGACAGGATTGTAGTTGTTGAGGCTAATCTGACTGGAACTGGCTGAAAGTATCACAGGCGAAGCGGAGCGTGAAAAACTTTTCATGTGATAGAGCTTCCTGTCGCTGTTGCTTGTACTATCGTCAGACGCTTCTTCTATGTGAACCACCGGATTGTCGATCAGGTGAGTAACTGGAAAAGAAATTTGCTTTGGTAGCTCAGAAACTCTTCAATAAGTTAGTTACTGAAACTTGGTTCAGTTTTTATTAAAATTAGATTCCCTTAATTCTAAACAAATTTGAAAGCTTTTTCAGGTATTTTTTTCGTTATAAATAGAAGATTCAAGTACCAGTATCAATAAGAAGCCATTTCCACATAGGCGCAACTAGGGGGGTGCTTGGGGGTGCTAAGCACCCCTAGAGCAAAAATTAGCACTCCTATTCGGCATCCCACCATAGCACTACCTAACACTTATATAAAAAATTAGTGCAACCAAATTATTTTATTTTTTTTGCAGTTTTTGATTTTATGAAAATTTCAAAATTTTTCAGTAAAAAATCAAAAATCACTCCAGGAAAAATATTGAAAAACTAACTTTTAAGCAAAATTAAGGAGAATTCATCCTCTTACATTTTAATTTTTTTCTAGAAATCTGGCAAAAGGAAAATTGTGAAATGTTTCCAGAAGAAAGAGAAAAATGAGGAGCTCATTATAGAAAAATTTCAAAATTTTCCAGTCAAAAATCACTCCAGGAAAAATTCTGGGAAATTGACTTTTTTAGGCAAAATGCACCCTCTTACATTTTGATTTTTTTTTGGGAAACTGGCAGGAAAATTGTGAAAATTTTCCAGAAAAAGAATAAAATAAAGAGCTCATTATAGCAAAATTTTTAATTTTCGAAGACTCGTAATTCTCGTAATTTTTCTTTAGAAATTTTTTAATTCCTGTCATTTCTCAAATAATTCTTATAATTTTTTATCAATTCCTATTGTTCTTCAAATTTTCGTAATTTTTTAATTCCTGTAATTTCTCAGAAAATTCCGTTATTTTATTAATTCCACGTACTTGTATATTTCGAAAATTAGTAGGTAATTCCCGTAATTTCCATATTTTATTTTGGGCATTTTTCAAAATTGGTATCGTTTCCCGAAAGCCTTTGTAATTTTTGTAACTTTAATTCCCGTAACTTTTTCGTAATTCCCGTAATTTTTTATAATCCTCTTAACTTTGATAGTTTTCGTAATTTTCAATTATCGTAATTTTTTAAATTTCTTGGACGTTTTTGGAAATTTTATAATTTCCCAAAGGTCTTTATAATTTTTGTAATTGTAATTCCTGATTCTTGTAATTCTTGTTATTTTCTAACTTTTTGAAAATCATCATAGGTTTTTTCGATTTTTGCAATTCGTTAATAAATTTCCGTGATTTATTTCCAGAATTTTCGTAACTTGTAACTTTTCTAATTTCCATAATTTTTTAAAAATTTAATTATTTTCGGTAGTCCCGAAATTTTTCGTAATTTCTGCAATTTTTGCAATTCCCTTAATTTTCGTTAATTAACAAATTCCTTAATTTTTGTGTTATTTCCGATATTTTTTTTTTTCAATTTTTCGTAATTTCCGTAATTTTTGCAATTCCTATAATTATTCTAATTGTCCTAATTCTTTTTTTTATGATTTTCCTAATTTCCGCAATTTTTTATGATTTTCGTGATTTCTGTTATTTTTTTAATTCCCGTAATTTCTTTATTTTATTTTTCAATAATGATAATAGACCTATCTATTTTTACCTGGTATGCGCGCGCAACACGAGGCAATGCCTTTCTATTGGCTAACTAGTACAGGTGAGAGATGTTCGTTTTGCACGCTGGGCATCTCCGTGTCCTTGTTTATTGCCCGTGGTCTGACAAGAATAAAAGTACGATTGATATTTAACTTGACATAGCTTGACAAAGTAACATTCAAAAATTGTTTGAAATTTTCATTGTCAAATACGTTGCACAACACGCGGTCTTTCTCCTTTCTTTTTTATCCCGTCCAAATAAGAAGAACGGACTGCTATGCGTAAGTCTAAAATAATTTGGTACGTTTTGCCTCGTCTTGCGCAATGAGCGTTCTGTGTCTTTTTTTATCTAATGAAGCAGGGTTGCAGATTTTTTTGATTTTTTTCCAAAAAATCAAAAAAATCGATTTCTTTGATTTAAATCGGATTTTTTTGATGTAAATCAGATTTTTTCGATTTAAATAAAAAACGTTCTATTTAGATCTATTTTAGGTTTTATTTATCATACAACAACACCCTAAACACAAAATTATATCGTCTTTCTTCCCACCTGGCCCCTTATTCTTGAAACTGGGGAGCAGCGTTCCCAGGAGAACGGGTGTTCCGTCTTTTTTACTTATATTATCATTTCCATATCATCGAGAAAGACAGAACACTCTTTCTCCTGGGAACGCTGCTCCCCTGTTTCAAGAATAAGGACCCAGAACATCCTTACTTTTTATTAATAAATAATTAAAACGAAAAACGAGGATTAGAGGGATTCCCAGGAAGATCAAATCAAATAGCATTTTCCTCGACATTTTCATATAATTAATGTGGTGCAGCAAGCGAGTATATCTCCATCCTTTTTAGGGACAAAAGAAAGACAAAGATAAAGGTATGGTGCGGCCTGTGTTAAGAATGCCACTGGCTGTTAACAGCTGATTACCACACGTTCGCTGCTCACCTAAGGTCTGACGATGTCACGTCAGTGTTAGTTGCGTAGATAAATTTAATTTATCCAATTTGTTGGTAGCGTAGATAAATTCAATTAGTTGAATTTTGATTTAATAAGGATTTTTTAGCAACTAACCGTTTGTAAACGGTAACTTCAGTTACCGTTTATAACACGGTTACAAACGGTTACTCGCTAAAAAAACCTTAATATTTACTGATTTTTTTTATGAATCACCAAATTACAAAATCGCGATTTAAATCATGCGATTAAAATATAATAATAATTTGATTAAAATCTCGATTTTAGTCACTGATTTAAATCAGGTGATTTAAATCAATGCAATCCTGTAATGAAGTTTTCGTATTATTTCCTCTTTGTCTGGTAAAATAGATAGGTTTATTCCCGTAAGTTTTTGAAATTTCCGTTATTTTTGAAATACTCGTGATTTTTATTATTTTTTCGTAAAACGTAATTTCCAATAATTTTTTGTAATTCTACGTAATTTTTGAAATTCGCGTAATTTTTTTCAATAATTTTCATTGTTTTCCGTAATACTCGATTTTTTTTCTAATTCTAATAATTCTTCTCCCAATTTTTTTAATAATTAATGTATTTTCCGTGATTTTTTTGAAATTTTTGTGATTTTTGTTAATATTTTTCCATATTACGTAATTTTCCAATAATTTTCGTAACTTTACATAACTATTGAAATTTCCGTGATTTTTTTCGTAATTTTATAATAATTCTCCTAATTTTTCTCCTTCCCGATTTTTTTGAAATTTCCGTGATTTTTTGCAATATATTCGTTATTTTTCATTTTTGTAATTCCTGTAATTTACGTAATTTATCAATGACTTTTGTAGTTCTACGTAATATTAGAAATTACCAATAATTTCCATTGCTTTTGTAATACTCAAATATAATTCTCCTTTTTAGTTTTTAATAATGGTGGTTTCCGTAACTTTTTAAGCAGGGCCGATCCTAGGGTATCGGCCGCCCGCGTGCAAAGAACATTTGCGCCGCCCCTTAGAAATATAGCACCCTCACGTAGGTGCCGGTAGTGGTAGCATGCCGCCGGAGGCAGAAAATTTTTTTGGGTGCCACGCCCAAAAGCTATCATTTCAAGCCTCAAAATGAGTGGTGATCAATAATGACAAACACTATATCCTAAACTGAGTAGGGCCTGGCTTGGGCCTAGGTACAAAAGTGAAGAATAGGACTCTGTGGAAAATCAAAACACCCCAGTCCGTAGTCGTAAACAGTGTTGCCAGAGGTGGTACAATTGTACTAGGTTCTGTACCATTCGTTTTGAAAAAGTACGTTGGTATATTTGATACAATTTTTATTTTTTTTATTTTTTCCAAATTCTCAAAGAGTCAGCCTACTGCCTACTTAGTCTAATGTCGATATTCTAATTAACTTGTATTTCTGTATCCAAATTCGATATAACAATAATTTTTGACTCGTAAATAGATGACGTCACCAATGTAACACGTAATAAAAAAAAACTAGAAGCCTCGTACTTTAAATAGGTTTTCCTGATCGGAAAAGCGGAAAATCCAAAGAAAAACCATTGAAAAATTACATTCCAAAGCCTATTTGATGAAGCTTATGTTTTTGTTACTTACCCCGTTGAAAAACTCGGAATTTTTGATACAAAATGAAGGAAACTCAAAGCCTCGTACTTTAAATCGATTTTCCCGATCAAAAACAGCCCGGAAAAGTGGAAAATTCGAGGAAAAACTGGATAAAAAGGTAAACATGTCAAATGAAAATGGCCGACTGTCAAAAATGACAAATTATATTTATTACAAGGACTCCTTGATTGAAGTTAGCCATAAGCGGTGTTGCCACATCAAAAGCATTTTAAATGGGATTTTGCTAATTATGGCAATTAAAAGTGGAAATTTTTTATAGAAAATGAAGAAAACTCAAAGCCTCGTATATTAAATCGCCTTTTTCCATTAAAAATCCCCGGAAAAGTCGAAAATTCGAGGAAAAGCTGGCAAAAAATCACGAGACGCCACTTCAAAATGGCCTACTAAAAGCAACATTGCCACATTACATCTCGGAAATCAAAAATAACATTTTAAAAGGGTTTTTTGTTTAAAATTCAATTTAATAATTAATCTATAATAATTATAATAATTAAAATTCCGTAGATAAAGCATTGGAAACTTGTTTTTAGTTTAATTTTAATGAAAATGACATTACAAGGTTTACTTGTTGATTATAGTAGAATAGACAAAGACAACGATAAAGTAAAAAGTAGTATATGTTTGCAAAAACCACCGTTTTCTGAAAAAAGTAAAAATCTTAAGAAAACCCAATAGAAAACCAACATTCCAAAGTCAACAATAAAACTAAAGTTTTTGAATATTCCCGGCTCTTTGATTGGGCGCTGAAAATCGCATTTTGAATATTCCCAGTTTTTGATTGGCTCCAAATTATCCGCTGACCAATAGAATTATAAACTCGCATATAACTCCGACCCTTCGAGCTCGCATATAACTCCGGTCTTTCGGGCTCTCGTAAAACTCC